CCCAGCGCCCATAATAACCCTCTTCTCTCAAATTCCCCAGTGCTGGCATTACAGGCTATACCACAATATACAACTTAAATTTTTTTTCTAATCCTTATCAAATCTATTGTAATACTCTATTCTCCAGTTTAGGTTTTTATATCTCAGAAGCCTCCAAATGCCATACTTTATATTTGCCATCACACTCAACTTTCTAAAACTTGAAATTGTCAAATAAATATTTGCCTAACTTAAAATGTTCAGTGGCTAGCCAGGTATCCAGAGCAGTGATTTACATCAAAAGCTATCTAAAAGAGAAAGATGGGGGGAGGGGGAGCGAGGTGGGAAGGTGGCTCAGTGGTAGAGAGCTTGCCTTGCATGCAAGAGGCCCTGGGTTCAATTCCTCAGCACCACATAAGCAAAAAGAAAAATGCTGGAAGTGGCGCTGTCGCTCAAGCAGTAGAGCGCTAGCCTTGAGCTGAAGAGCTGAGGGACAGTGCCTAGGCCCAGAGTTCAGGCCCCACGACCAGACCCCCCCCCAAAAAAAGGAAGATGGGAAGGTGGGAAAGATGGGGTGGAGGGTACATTGCAGGAATGATGGGCCAACACCTTTTCACAACTAAGAATTGTACTGCAGAACTGAACACAATCACAATTATGAATTTACAGAAAAATCTAAACACGGCAGAAAATTCTCTACAATCCCAATCCCCAGTATCTATATCAGCATCTTTATGCTTGAACATTTATTGGCTCACTGGTCCTTAATACAAAGTCCAGGAACACCTTTCTACCAGACCACTCTAGGCATCTCTCTTTAGAGTAAAATGTAGCTTTATCATGAATCAAGTTCTTGTATTTCAGCAGCTTCCAAAATGCCATATTTCATATTGCATTATAATCAACTTTATAAAACATGAAACTTTATCAAATGACTGCAATAGCTATATAGTATATATACTTTATATATTAGAAGCAAGTATCTTATCAAAGACTTGGCCTGTACAAGATAGTAAAGATCTTCTCTACATCTGTCACAATTTAGTTTACTTGCCAATCTGTTTATTTGCAAAACCAGCATGTTTTCAATGGGTAAGCAATAACCTGAATGTCATCATTTATAAAATCCGGCTATCTTCCTTTTCTTTCGAGAATGAGAACACAACTGACAACTCATAGAATACAGTTAATGACAGGTGGAAAATTTTCTAACCCCAACAGTAATCAAGAAATTAAAATATAGTAAAATACCACTTTTCAACCATTAAATAAAAGTCAAGGTAATTATAATAAAAACACTCAAGCATTACTGTAGGTAGCTGTATAACAAAACGTCTTTTCAAAAAAGTTGTAATTATGTGTAAATGTTTACATCCTTTTACCTAGTACTTCTATTCCTAGAGATATATGGCAATAATAAAAAATGTATTCATGAATGTTAATCACAGTATCAAGAGCAGAAAACAGTATGGACTAAATCAACCATAAGGAAATGGCTAAAATACTAAACTGTTACCTGGTTATATTTCACAGCTACATAAAAATATTTTTTAAAACAAAGCAGTTGTACTAAAATGAGAATGCTTATCAAAAATCTAAGTTTAGGGGCTGGGAAGGTGGCTCAGTGGTAGAGTGCTTGCCTTGCATGCATGAGGCCCTGGGTTCGATTTCTCAACACCACATAAGCAAAAAGAAAAAAGCCAGAGGTGGCGCTGTGGCTCACGTGGTAGAGCGCTAGCCTTGAGCTGAAGAGCTGAGGGATAGCACCCAGGCCCAGAGTTCAGGCCCAAGACCAGACCCCCCCCCCAAAAAAAAATCTAAGTTTAAAGAACATAAGAACACAAAAGGTAGATATGCTCACATAGACTTATTAGTAGCAGTGGAGTAGGGCCTTAGATGATAGGACAGATGTGCTGTAGGACATCTGGAAAGTATAATGGAAGCTGGGCACCCAGGCATCACGCCGGTAATCCTAGCTACTCAGGAGGCTGAGATCTGAGGATCACAGTTCAAAGCCAGGCCAGACAGGAAAGTCCCTGAGATTCTTATCTCCAATAAACCACTCAGAAAACCAGAAGTGGCACTGTGGCTCAAGAGATAGAGCTCTAGCCTTGAGCTGAAGAACTGAGGGACAACACATAGGCCCAGAGTTCAAGCCCCCTGACCAACAAAAAAATAATAATAATGGAAATATTACTGTGCTTAGAATCAGATCAGCTTGAATACCACTCCAATTTACTAAGTATAAGTACTAATGACTATTATTGTTAATGACTACACTGTAATTTCCAAATTTGAAATAACATTATTTCATAAGAGAACAGAGTTATAATTGCTAGATTACTTCTAAAGGCTCAATCTTACAATGTTAAGATTTTTAATTCACATCCAAATTTAATAACACAACAGTTAGAATCTATCTTCTGTTTTATCTTCTATTCTCTTTCTGTGACAGAGGACATAGAGCTTATCCAGCTTTCCACTCAAGGGAAAAAGCAGCACCGACTACAGGCAGACTTAATTATAGCTATTGCTAATCAAGCCAGGAAATAAAAAAAGCATACTATAAAAGAATAGCTTTAGTCATCAAATATCCAATGTAGAGTTACCTAGCTGTATCTAGTTATGGAAGAAAAAGGAAATTCATTTAGTCCTTGAAAAATGAAATCTCCCATAGGAATTCCTGATTCATTCCCAAAGCATAAATGCTTCTTCCATATGGGAGTTCGGGAGATGAGCACCTGTCCTGATGGCCTGCATTACCAAACAATGCTCTTTCTTAATGAAATATGGCCAGGGATAACAAGAGTAGCTTGCAAACAAATGGCCAGGGACCACAACACCCTTCTTCCATAACCAAGCAAGCCTGAAAAACTACTAGTTTTAAGCACCCTAAATAATCAAAGTATTTTCTTCTATTTTTGTAGTAAAAATAAAGAGCAGGGGAGTCTATATTCAATGACTCTAAATGACACCATTCAAAAGATACTACCAAAAAAAAAAAAAGATACTACCAATAAAAATTCTCAGTAGCAGGGAAGAAAAAATGTTCTTTATTCGTTTCCAATCAGAAAATGGAATTTCAAAAACATACCATATAATACCAGGAGAAAAATTTTAAACTCAAGGATAATTTAGCCTTCATAACTTACAAAACCATACTCCTATTTTCTATCATTAGTCGAGGAGGTGGACTTGCTAAGCTAAATACTATTACAATACTGCTTCAGACCAAGAGTCTATTTGTCCGGTTAAACATTTTAGCTCTAAACAAAATCCCTTTAAAATGAGTAAAGGCAATTCAGTATTAAAAGTCCCTTCACTTGTACCTTGAAAATGACTTCACTTTTAAACAAAAACCATTCAATATCTGATGCTGCCTATATTTTTAGACAATGTATGTATTTATGTATCCTTTTCCTAACCTAATTTCAGAATTAAGTGATTACTCTAGGAGATGTACCTTGTCCCGGAGCTAAGGTTTCTCTTTGCCATCTCCAACTCCTGCCAAGACTAAGGACCAACCACTTCCCCACGTCCCACACTTCCTTTTCCATTCCCCAGACCTCCAGGGTTTCCAACGCCCCAGTCTTGCGCAATATCCGTAGGAGCAGAGCCGCAACCACCGCCTCCTAAGCCGGGAAACAACCCTACCGAGAACATTGTCCAGCAGAAAAATAAAAAGGGCGGGAGGGGGGTCATGTAGGAAGTCGGCTTCGGGTCCCACGCTTTGGGAGCTGACGGCCACTCAGGGATGAACCTAGACTAATTTTACCAGCCAGACTTTTAACCATCCTCGTCCCTCCCCCTCAAGCTCGTCCATAGGAGCAGTAGGCGGAAAAGGGGGGGTGAATAATAAAAAGGGGGGTGACGGGACGGTTATCTCCCAGTTCAGGGTTTCAGCCGGTTTGGTCGCCACCGCCCCACCAGGACTATTGTTCCCGGGTTCCCCACCCCCACCCCGGATAGGAAGTGATAGTCACATCCCCTCCGCCTTCGGCAATATCCCCCGGGGAGTCTGAAGTAAGCTTCCCACAGGATAACCACCCCCCTCCACAATGACCCTTGCCACCTCGAGTCACGTTGACCCCCCCCAAAGGTCCCCTCAAAACCCGAGTCTAAGGAGAGAAGCAGCCAGACTGGGATTAATCGAAATCAGGTAAACCCGCGGCGCGTCTCTTCACGGACACAATCCTGTTTTCCCAAGCGCTGGACAAAATCGCTGCGAGCTCAGAGACGGTGTTGCGTCCTCCTTGCCCCCTCGGAGGGGCCAGCGTATGGAGTGAAGGGAGCCCACGAGCGAATGCCAACCTCCATACCCCCGGATCCGCGGCAGCCGCAGCCAAACACCCCCACCTCGACCCTCCTGGGAGGGGCAGGCCGGGTGGGCAGGCGTGGAGAGGCGAGCCGCCACCCCGCCATCCCCCGGGCCCGCTCCCCACTTCCCTCAGGACTCCCGGCCTGAGAAACAATAGGTGGTCGCGGGTGGAGGTGCGGGCTCGGCCCCGCGGCCGCTGCCTTGGCGTCCCGGGTGGGCACCCGTCTGGGGCTGGGGGGAGGGAGGCCGCAGGGATCAGAAAGGAGGCGATCGCCCCTCCAAGCCGGCTGCAGCAGCAGCAGCCGGTCCCCGGGTCCGGACGCGCCCCTCCGCCCCTCTCCCCACCGCCGCACACAAAGCGCTGGCAGCACTCGCCGCGGGGTGTGGGGGGGGGACTCCCGGGCCGACGAGCCCGGGGACAGCCCGGGGCGGGAGACTCACCATGAAGTCCCGGGCGAAGTTGTCCTCCCCATTGTGGTCCGGACTCTTCATGGCCTGGACCCTCTGGATGAATTTCCTCAGGATCTCCACTTGCTCCATCCTCCCGCGTCCCCCCGCCTGCGGCCGCCGGCCCCCC